TAGTATTATTTTCTGCCAAGCTTATTTTTTCAAATAGATGGACCAATTCGATTGCGAGTGATTGCTTATCTGTAGAATTTTTATCAACATTAACAACTTTAACGGTATCTTCCACTAAAGGTTCTATTCTTAATTCTTCTATCAATGGCTGTACATCTATTTCAGGGATTTTTGTTTTCTGTAAGTCTGTATTTTGTTCTGAGGATTCTTCAGGTAAATTAGGAGTGTTACGAATAGATTGCGATTCCGAAATTTGTTTGACGTGTAATTTATCATGAGATTTTTGCGAGCTATCCGAATATGAGTTTTGGGCTTGAGAAGCGGAAGCTTCATTACTCTGTAATAACTTCTTTTCCCGATTCCTTTCTCTTATTTCGTTACGAATCTGTTCATTACGTCTTTCATTCAGAAAATTATCAATCCTTTTATCTTCTGATGATTTAGACTTTACACATATAGGTGATATAGTCAAAGATGAATTGGAGACTCGAGACTGATATCCATCAGAATTTAAAACATTATTGGATACATAAGATGCCAGAGCATCATTATTTTGCAAGATTGCCTGTTCAGAGGTGTCATCAGAATTTAAAGTGTCATCAGTTATATCAGATACTGGGGTATCACCACATTGTAGAACTATCTGTTTGACAGTATCGTTAGATTTTAGTGGAGAGTGCAAAACATCTTCCGTAGAAATACTTTTTTCTTCTTTTCCTTGTTCTAATATAGCGAGCCTAGTCTCAAGCTCTATATTCTTTTGCTCTAATTCCTTGACTCTAACATTGCGCTTTTCATTCTCCTCGATAATCTGCTTTAGCTTTGCATTCTCCTTTCTAAGCTCGGCAATCTTAGCTATATGTTTGGAATTCTGTTCTTCCAATGTATCGACTTTGGATTGCATGTTTGCCATTTTTTTATACAAAATGCAGATATGTTCAAAAGTTTGAATAAATAGAAATAATAAGTGCGTGACCAAAAAGTTAAAAAAGTCACGCCGTTTGCTTTTGCCAAGAAAAATCTTTGATCATATGCGAATTAATATATATAAATAACAATATTAAAAAAATAAAATTCCTGAAATATACATGCAAAAGTAAATGCGATTATGTATGCGAAATCGGCCACCAGGGCAAGCTTTGTTGATAGAAAGAAAAAAAATTTTATTATATGTATCAATCCATTAACCCGATTTATTTTTAATTATTTGAGAATTATCACATTCACATTGCCTATATAATCCATCCGCTACTTTTTTGCATGTTTTACAATACAGATGTGAATAGTGATTGTATTCGTCACAGACCTTACATCCATGCTTTCAACCTCTAAAGATATGCCACTTTTCGATATAATTTTGTCTTTTTTTATTTGTATATGTATTGTTATGATTTTTCATCATTTTATATATTAACAGAAGAAAAAATAATTTATACGTGGCTAAAATTTTTTATCATACAAACCTGCAATGTGTGGCACTTTGTGTTTGTGACCTGTTTACAAATAAATTATGCATAACAGTAAGCCTCATAAGGAATTTTTAATTTATTCTGCAAGTACGTACTGTACATTCAAAATTTTTTTCATTGATCTTGTTACTGTTATGTAACATTGTACAGTATGTAATTCATTTTTACCCGTTACTAAAATTTGATCTTTCTGTTGAGGTAAATAAAGAAGAGAGTCTCGCTGGGCTCCTAAATATTATTTTGCTATTTTTGATGTCTATTATGTTTACCTATGGGATAACTGTAGATTTTTTTCATTAACAGTATCGGTATAACGATAAGGCTTTACGTACAAACTGTTAACCCATTTATTTTTACTTTTATTTAACGTTAATTATTCGACTTACATATAGAATTTCAACAAATTTTCATTTTATCATTATCGTTATTACTAGTATTCACTTATAATA